CTGCTGATCTGAACACCAGGAAACTCCTCACAATGAACGGTCCACACCAAGTCCAATACCCGAAGAACTAGTCGGAAAGAATGCGATTGGTGAATGTCAAAAAACCACTTTCTTGAACGAAATATTCAGAAATACGTCGTAGGAAAATGGCGAAGGATGAGTTGTTGCTGAAGGAATGACTGAAGCATCTACAGACATTGGAGAGAGACGAAGAAGGGAAAGTATGGCAAAACAAGATCTTCCATGAGATGCGCCACTGACAAATAGCTGAAGTGATTAATATTGAGAAATCTTACCTTATCTTCCATGTCTTCCTTAGACCATCTCATTATGTCATTACGTATCTGATGACTAGTAGGGTGTTCATATTTATGGAATGGATTTTTTTTCCCATTCAACTAGCTCTTCACGATCTATCTTATTCTTTATTAGCATTTAGATGTTGGAAAAAGTTGGAAAAATTAAAAGGCAGCAGAGGCATTAATCATAAATAGGTAGTAAGCACCAGTTTCATTAAAGGAGAGATCTACTACATCAGGACTCAAGGTACAGATTATGCAAAAAAAACGTTTATGGATGTTGCAAACCAACTCTTTTTAAACATTATATGGATGTCGCCTGCTCATCTGAGGTCATCTTCCACACTCCAGGTCTTGAGCAATTACTAAAGCCGGCTTCGAGATACTGGCTTTATCATTGTGATATCTCGGATAACTCGGGGCAAAATGGCGCAATGATTGAAAAGGCCAATTCCACGTTGATTGAGTGGCAATCGATAAACGATTGTATGGTGATATGCTGGGTTTAAGAAGTTCTGCAATATCTCGGTCATTAGTATATATGCTACAACACTGTCTGCAGATGACTGTGGTAAGTTCTATGCAGAACTTCAGTAAAATCTTTACTTAAATATGACATGATCATAAGTTATGATGCAATGAGGAATCGATAGTTGGCGAATATGGCATTGGAGTCTGGTGCGCAAACGCCTTAGTTTTGCTAAATAGTTTGAACGTTTTTACTAACACTTGTTTCCGACATCGAAGAAGATATAGCACGTCGAACTCTCCGGATAATCAACCCTCCAACCAGATTGTCAACCCTCCAACCAGATGTCTTGGTCACTACTAGTTCCGTACTAGGTAGTCCTATCGGAGCGGCGTTATGTACTTGATCACGTTATATTTCGAACTAAGACTCACATAAAATTGACAACTCGCAAGGAAAAATATTTCCTATGATCTTTCATCCATTTCGAACTAAAATATTTCGAACCGAATGATTGAAGCATCTCAATGATACAGATATCAGGAAGATCTCCGGAATCGCAGATGAATACTGTTCTCAACTGAAAGCTTGTCTCCTAAATTCAGCCACTTCCACGAGTATGCACTAACAGGATATGCGCTAGTTGGGTGTTGGAAGCTGTCCATTGTCTGAAAAAGCTGCCAAATATCAGAAGATCCTGACTACCGGATGCTTCAGAACAACGACACAGTTCGGGGAAGAAATCATTATTAGAGCGACATGACTTTAAGAATGGAGATTACGGCTCGATTAGGTGATAATAGGAAACTATTCTGCCTCCTTCATAAAGCAATTGGAACTCAGAGAACAATTAGTAAAATGATAAGGGATAGCTATGATGTGCCTATTAAAAGCATTAAGGATTGCCTCGTACGATGGAAGGAATTCTTCGAGGCCAAAATTAACCATGATGCGCCATCTATTGTAACGGAGATCGCTCTTCGAGCCATACGTTTGTAACTGCAAACCGCCAACAGAAAACGTAATAAAGAGGAAATAATCTCTGTTATCAATAAGCATAAGGCCAATAAAACTTTCGGAGAGAACGTTCTTCAGGCTGAACTCTTCAAATACTGTCCTTCGCCCTTCATAACAAACCTTCAATGAATGTACGCCATGAGTTCCCGAGAGATAAGCCTATTAGACGTCTTCAGGGCAATTTTTATTTCTTCTTTAGTGGATAAATTTATGGCAATACGAGATAGCAGAATGTATCCTATCAAATTGATTTAAAACTGTGATATTCACACTAAGAAAGGGGGGTGCTGGAACTTTGCTTCAAATATCAGTAACTCACCGTTACATGTTTCATTTACTTGTAGTTACCTTCGATTCAATTGAGAAAACGGTACTTTGGAGGATGATGGAAAGTGGTGGTGTTCCAGAAAAGATCTTTCGATTCATAAAGGCATTTTAGCAGCATAGCAGTCGGCGCAGGTCTGTGTACTTGACAAACTAGCAGATTCCTTCAAAATAAGAACTGATGCCTATCAATATTGCGTCCTTTCCCATACAATATTCAGTTATACGATAGAATGAATAATGGACATTGCTTGTCGGCACTCAAGAGCTGCATCATAAAAATTAGTCCAGAGCATATGATGAAATGCAAATAATACTAAATAATGTGTCAAAAACGAAAATCGGACTCAGAATCAATATTAACAGAATATTAATTAAGACCTTTTCATTTTATATAGAAGAAGCTGAATACTTATTTCTATTAATTCATTGTTCGGTTGAAGTGCCTGATTTTAAATATGTTAAATTTACTCTAATCCCAAATGGCCAAGCAAAAGGTGAAATCTGGATTACGATAATGCTAGAAATGCATTCTTCTGGTCGACAAAAATTTATGGAGCCGTCGCGAAATCACCATGAAAACGAAAGTTTATATCTTTATAACTGCAGTTCGCTCGATCTTGCTATATGGCTGGAGACATGGACAATGAGAGTGGGAGGTATTAAGAAGGCATTTCCCTTTGATTACTCATGTCTAAAATATATTTTACGGGTTCGCCGAGTGGATAAAATTTTACATGATTGCATCCATCTTCGCTGAAATACTGTCTGCATTAGCACCGTATTAGAACGCCTGGTTAGGCACGTTCTTCCTCGCGCACTATAGGAGTTGACACGTATTTCATTACTTGCTAAACCTTGTGACGGATGGCTATGGCCAGTCAAGGCCTGGACTGATACAGTTAAGAAAGATTTTGAACACATAGAAGGACCGGAGATATATGGATTTAGACATTGGAAATAGGAATGGCTTGTATTATTATCAAGGGATCAGATCTTGCTGTTTGGAAATGTCTTATTCTTATCCTTGTAGCCAACACAGCTAGCTTAATCAGTAATAGTAAGAGCGGTTAGAAGAAGAATAAATAATATATAAAACACTAACAGTGATAACACTTATCGCTTTCACTTTCTGTAATATTAATGTTGCACAGCTGCTATAATTCATGGCTATAATCATTTTCATAGCTATGATGATTATGATTATATTATTTTTTAAATATTGCTTGGTTCATTATTCAATTGTTAATTTTCGAATTTTCTAAAATTATGGTTCAACAATTAATTCTCATTTAAAATGGATTTTAGAACTCTTCAGAAAAATTTCTTTTATTTCTTTTTAAATTTCTAATTTCATTTCATCAACTGCAAATAAAATGATTTATTTCTTAATCCGTTCCTTAACTGTGAAGTGCAATTTAAAATACTATTGTAACGTCTTGCCACTGACAAACTTTATTCCATCCTCATAAAAAACATGGAAAAAAAATTTTGCTATCGTTTTAATTATTTTCCAATTATTTTACAAATTTTTCCATGTTTAAATTAATGCTCCATTATGCTCACTCGACAGATGAGAACTTCTTACTTCTATTTAACTAATTTGGCAAAAGTAAGAACCAGATTAAAGTGCAAAAAATTAGGCAAAATTCTCTTGCTCAAAATTCTTCCAATCTTCTTTAACATTCATAGTGAAAAATTTTGCTAAAATAAAATATTAAATTGGAGTAGAAATTTTTGTTCGGTTCTCTTTTGTTCATCCTTTTTCTTCATCTGACAGCGTGCACCATTAATTTACATCACTTACTACACGTGCTACGGTGATTTCAAGGTGTTTTCATCCTCCTTTCTCACTCAACCAATGCCATTCTGAAAAAAGTATTAAGTATTTGATCATTTACGAAAGTGGATGTATGAGAAAATTTAAAACGAAAAAAGCGAAAAAAAATGAAAAAAATCAAATGGCTTTGCTACGAGGCAATATTATTTATTTTTAATCGATGATCATTTAAATTTAATTTTCATTTTATTTCATCTTTAATGTATCAAATTTGACTCAAAGTAAGATTAGAATTCAATGATATTGCATAATAAATAGCGAAATATGGCCTTCTTATATTTAACTCGAATTGTTTTGGTTTTATAAACTTTTTATGTTCCAAAGAACTTGGAAATATAATATGATAATTATATCATCTTGCTTTATATTCGGCAGAAACATTCTCACTTTTATTAAGCTTACTTTTTAAATATAATGATAACCTTAAAAACTGAGCAGAAATGCAATTGCAGATTTATAAATAGACCATTTTTCTTTAGCATCAAAAAATAACTATCAAAAATAGAAATTGTTACTAAAATTTATGAAAAATGAGAATTTATTCAATTTATTCAACGTAATTCTACGAATAATAAATGTGCTGATAATGAGTCTTTTTCAGAGGATTTTCAGAGTATTTTCCTAAAACTCTTCCAATTATATCCGTTTTCCCAATAATAAAAATCCATTCATGTCCAAGTTAAAATAGTAAATTTTTCTTTAAGACCGCTATTTTTCTATTTCTTCTGTCAGTTGCAAGAAATTGGAAGATGGAACTTTTAATCGCTAAGATTAAAAAACGCAAAATCTTTATTGTTTGCTCAATACTGATTGCTTTATTGCTAATAAAATCGAGAAAAACGGTTAGATGTTATCGTATTTTGCCATTTCTTCAAAAAATGCATTTTCAACAAAAAGCTAACCAATTAAAAGCTCCTCTGTCAAACTCCTTATTTCGATTCCTTGCAACTACCCACTTGCACAAGTTCTATTACCTCAAGCATGAACATTTCTTATTCTTGAAGATTTATGTTTATAGGAGAAGCAAATAGGAGGATTAACTGATTTACATGTGAAAGAAGCCAATTCGCCTAACAACGCCTCAACCACTCAAAAAGCACGCTTCACGCTTTTCCAACAATGTCTTGTGAAGCGAATTACCAAATTACCAGTGATCAAGGCAAATTATTTTTTATTTTATTACTTTTTAATTCCACTTTATTGCTTTTAATTTTATTGCATCAATGAAATTTTATTTATATTATAGTATATTAATGAAATGAAAATATTTAATGTAAATAAAATCTAAAGTTACAGCTTAAATTTAAATTCAAAGTTTGCTAATATTTATTTCTATTTGTTAATGTATTAAGATTTGGGACGATCTAAATAAAATGGTTTCTATATGTAACATTCTACTCAAAACTTTACCTGGTTTGAAGATCAACGAAATCACAAACGGTGAGGAAGCTAAATTCATAATCCAACCGAACGAATTAGTTGCAGTTCGTTAATTTGCATTTCAAACTTTTTCTGATTCTGATGTTTCTTTTTCTGATGTTAACTTTCAATAGTTGTTAAAGATTGATAATGATTTTAATAGATATTTTTACTAATTTATCAGTGAATAAGAATTAAAGAAAAAAGACTTTAATATTCTCATCGAAATTGAGATTGAATTGACATTAAATATTTTATATTTTATAATATATTTTTATACCTTTTATTTTTTATTCATATACATAATTTGGAAAATTTTACAGTGCAAAATAAAATCTTAATGGCAAATCTCTACATTTCAGGACGCCGAATGTAATATCATAACATTGGGGATTGGGTATGATGTTCAAGTTGAGGAAAAACTAAAGAAATTGGTTCCGTCTCAATGTCATTTTTTCGGTGCTGATCCAGTAGTGCAAGTTAATAAACAAATTTATGAAAGGATAGGAAAATATTTCCCATTTGCTGTGAGTGCGATAGATGGTTTTGGTGAAGCACAAGTTCTTGGATGTGAGGAATATTTGTGCAATATGAATTTTGATCTATAAACTGTAGTTATTTGTAAAAATTAAAATAAATTAAAATAGATGGTTAGTGCTGACCATCAGCATGGTTAGAATTTCGTGCCAAGGAGTCACTCTTGGTTAGAGGGTCATCATCAAAACTCGTATTTTTCAAACATACTTATTTCGGGAGTAGAAGTGAACCCTTGTATTTCAATAGGAAAATCGAGCCATTATTCATGGCCTATCCCTATAAATATTATCTAAAAATAGAAATTTCCCGCATTCAAGTATTTAAGGGAATAATGTGCAGACATATCAAATCGTGCGAATTCCCCACATCAGTTTGAAGAATTTTTTAATTAAATATGCCAAAGTCAAAGTTGTTGATATTCTCTTGATGGATAACGAATATGCAGAAGTTTGTCTCTTATCCAATATGACTTATTTGTAATTTGTGATTTATTAGTAATTTTTTCACCATTTTTTATCAGAAATTGATTTAAAGTAGAATTAAATTAGTAAAAGCCAAGATTGTTATTTCCAAGAATAATCGAAATAATAAAAGAAATTATCACATATAATGGCTAGCAAACAGAAGAGAACAAAAAATTTTTTTTTAAAATCCTTTTTCCTTTTTATTCAAAATATTCTTCCAGTACAACTTAGCCAGTTCGTTCTTCCGCGGTGGGATGCTCGATGAAAACGGAATAACTGTTTGCCAGTGGAATGTCGAATACCACGAATCTTCTATTAAGCAAAAAATACAATATGGCTTCATAATTCGTCGACTGATATTTGAAAAAAGGTTATCCCTATTTTCATAAAGATGATTTAGATTTGAAGATAAAAAAATAGTTGTTACTGTTGCCTATTAGAGGAATTCTTATCAACTATAATTTAGAAAAAAAAACTTTTCATTATTGGCGTGAAAATTAAATTTCTTAAAAGATACTATTATAATATTTTATTATTATTATATTATTATAATATAATTGATTATTCAATGAGTGACGAAGTTTTTCTGTCGCTAACTGAATATTTTCATTTGTTCTTTCAACATTCACCATTTTTCTTGATTTTTCTTCTGATAAACTCTTTCTGATTTAGTCGAATGCTTTAATTGAAAAAATTAAAGAGAAACCAGAAAATCACTTGGGACAAAAACTTAAACTATGGTGGAAGTCTAGTTGAAGCACTTAATTTGGCTTAATAAACCACAATTAACTCTAGAACTATTTTCAGATATGCAATACTTAAAATGTACAAACTATCACCTCGATTATTTTTTTTCAACTATGATAGCGAAATCTGTCTAGAACGATATTTAACAAGTTTTACTGCAAAATAACTTGTAACTTTAAATTGTTAAGCTTTTGAAGACGAATATTTTCGAAGATTTCTTACATGAAAATTTCGTTTAGGCTTTATGTGAGTCATTTTTTTGATTTCTAAATAATTATTTTCATTGTTGACAACTCAGTTTCTGTCTCTAAAGAACTTCCTGACATATTTTTCTAGTCCCACAAGCCAGCGAGATGGGTTTAACTAGCAAAGGTGACCATAAAAAAAGAAAAAAAAACTTCATTTCATTTTTATTTTTGTTCTTAATATGTGAAGTTATGTACATAGCTGAGTCGACGAAAAATTCAATGTGAATTTCTCGAACAATGCATCAGCTACTACCATTCTCTCTCACCTATTTCTGGCAAATTCGGGATTTGTGATTCTAATTTAAATTGTCGTCATTCTATTCGAATGAAGTTGGCTGTGATTATTAAATGATAATGAACCTAAAAAAAAAGCTTGTATAAACTTATTTTGAATTTTTTTTTGTTTCGATGTTTCGGTTTTATAAATGGTTATTCACATACGATTCATTTACGATGTCGAGGAATAGCTGTAAATTAATCCAGGAAAGTACCAATATAATTAAAGTCAATGGGCTTCTACCGAAAGGTATGAGCCAAATTCGAAATCTTTTGTCTCATTTTGATTGAAGTCGACACGAAATTAGTGCATTTTTGTTTGAAATAGAATTATAAAGAATAATGATTACTACAGGAATAATCACTATGGTAAAAAAAATATAATTCTTAAATTCGAAAATTAGCAAGCGAAAAATTTTTCTTTAAATTCATTGCTTCTAAATAGACAAAATGGTTTCCGTAAAATGTTGGCACTGATCGAAATATATAAATATGTATATATAAATATATATATATCTTCTTCAACGGGACCGATGAATAGATAAGTGGAAAGTAAGTGGAATGTCTTAAAACAATATGGTTATATAATTCGTCATTTAATGTCTGAAAAAAGTTCTCTTTCATTTTCGCAAAGATACCTCTGCACTCATTATTTTAATTATTTTAAAAAATTCTATTTGTATTTGTAAAATAATCGCAGGAGTTTGAGAATAGTAAGCTGATTCACAGCACTTATTTGAGGAATTTATTTTATATATTTTTTTATTCGCTATTTACAACACCCTCGACTGAGAAATTAGGGACTTCAGATGGGAATTTATTAGGTTTGCAACAAAAAATGGTTTTGCCAGTTTTTCTCCTTATTGACTCATTTTTTACCACAGAAATTGACTTTTCGTTGCTGAAACATCGGATTAATTGCTTCTTGATTATGACGTAGTATTTATAATTCTGCATTAATTCTTTAAATTTCAAATTTACTTATCATATCGTCCCTGAATTCGATAACCTTTGATTCGAAATTTTCTGACTTGCAGAGAACTAGCAGTAATTCCCCATCAATTCTTTTAATTATTGCATCATTTCTAACAATTAGCAACAATTTGTGGCTAACATTGCATTCCTTTAATGTTATTTCGATTTTGACAACTCCTTTGATATACTAAGCTAAGTTGGAATCTTTGTTGCAAAGTGTCAAAAACATATTGAAACCTTACATTTTCCGGCTGTTTCCTCTGGATTGATCTTCGTCATAAGCAATTGATTTCTCGGTTTTTTCTCAGTTTTGTCAGCATTGTCGGCGTTACCATATCTGCATATCGACAATCAATAATGATATCTCCTTTAATCGGATGTGGATCAATAAATCCACAATTTCTAGTTTTTATTGCTTCATTTTTCTCATTGAATATAAATAAAGTTCCTATAATAAGATGGTTTCCATAATTCTGAGCATCGAATCTTCCAATCTTCCGATATAAACACTAATTGATTCCATCTAATTTAGTGCATCTGTTTCATTTCATAGGACTATATCAGGGCTTGTTATGCATTTTCCCTTGTGAATTCAATTCTATACATTATTAAGATCAGAGACCTTCTTCCGTCATACAGGAAGATTTCTCCTTAAATTCATAAAAAATTCAATGTTGATTGACATTTGACTTTTAATCATCCATAAGGGTATCGTATTTCATTATTTGTTATCCATTTGTTTGGAGAAATTTGATTTAATACTATTCCATTTATTACCTTTTGATTATTTAAATTGCGAAGTTGTTGCAGAAGTAGTTGTTTGATCAGAAATTACCGATAATGATAATCTAAGAAATGTTTACAGTCGGAGTGACATTTCGTTTAAAAACATCCGATGGCACAGTTGCGAAAGAAGTATTAAATCTTAATGTAGATAATATTATGTAGATAATATGGACATTTGACGAGGAAGAAGAATCCACTCTTGAGGAACGTCCTACACACCCACATATACCATTAGATCAAGATGTGATGGTCTTAAAGAACAGAGAGGTTCCCAGATGTGTTAAGTCATAGACTAAACAAAAAACTTTACATCCAGTTGTGCAGAAGAGAGAACTATAAATTAAACAAGCCAGAATCTTTATTCTTATTTTAGCAATCCGCAGAGTTTATAGTATTGTTGGGAAATAAAAGACCCGCGTGACAGGAAATTTATTAAATCTATACGGAAAACACAGTGGAGCAGATTCCCGAAGGAGTTTTGCAAATCTAGATATTGGAAGTGGGAACCGTGCTTTTACCCAAAATTTCGTATTGCCAAATTTTCTATACATGGTTTATGGCAAACATTGAAAGAAATGAATCAACTGTGTGTGTAAACGGGTTCTCAATTTTAATTTAAGTAATGATCTTAAGAAAAATACATTTTAACAATTAAGAAATCATAAATGAATCGATTCTTAAGAATAGCCGCGATTATCATTATTTTATTAAGTCTAGATGGAAATTGATAGGGAACTTGTTAATAGCAGTGCTACATACATAACAGATTTTGTCAGGCGTCAGTGACGCCGAATGGCGAAAAAAGCTGCAAATATGAGCAGATCATCTGCACCTGTTATGTCCAGCAAAAGAATTAATGAAATAAGGGAAGAAAGAAAGAGTTGGAGAAAACATTGGATAATAATAATAGTACGGAATAATAGTAAAGTACCTCATAAATAAGAAGTACAATATTTTTGAGAGAATTATTAACCATAAATCTTCTCTCCTCCCATCTCAAATTAAATATAAACTCCATCATTCTTGGGATTTTAAGCTTCTTTTGTGAATAGGAGTGGGCAACGACGGGTGAACTGAGTTTGTATATATATTTTCATGCTTGATTTTACGTAATATATTATTTATCTTTGTAATAGGACAACAATTTCGTTTTGTCTTCTCTGTATATATTTGAGTCATATCATATATAAATTGTACAAGCAAACATATACATTTGGTTGATCGCTAGTATTCTTCGTTTTTTTAAAATTTATTCTTTAAGTACGCTTTTTTCACTAGCACTCTGGTTAAGTTGACTTTACAAAAAATTTTTGAAGGGAATCATATGATGATTGGTGAGATGACTCGATGGCTCGATGTGGGTCGTTTTACACAAATTTGAGTGTTCGCAAAGAGATAATTAAAAAGAGAACACTGGCCGCAGAGTTTATAGTATTGTTGGGAAATAAAAGACCCGCGTGACAGGAAATTTATTAAATCTATACGGAAAACACAGTGGAGCAGATTCCCGAAGGAGTTTTGCAAATCTAGATATTGGAAATGGGAACCGTGCTTTTACCCAAAATTTCGTATTGCCAAATTTTCTATACATGGTTTATGGCAAACATTGAAAGAAATGAGTCATCTTATTAGTAATTTGTTGACATAACTTAAGATAATTATATTCAGATAATTTATAATCAATAGTAAGAAAATGCTGAATAAATGGCATAGTAGGGCACTGTACATTTTTGATACAATATGAAATAATTGAGGGACAGTCTTACGCTAAATTTAAACCCAGACATCGGTAACAGTTTCAGTTTGATTGTTGATTAATAAACAGTTAAAGGCAAGCATTGAAAGAAATGACACCGCATTGCTAATTTGTTGGTGTGATATGAAATCATCTATACTCAGACATATTGGGAATAGAATGGCTCAGTGAGTTGTTGCTCCATTCGGAGCGCCGATGCTGAGGTTCGATTTCCGGCAAGAGTAAGCCTATACAAAAATCTTGGCGACTCACCTGTATTTTTATCGCCAGGGAACTTCCTGGCATATTTGTCCAGTGATGTTGGCGACTCATCTGTTTCTATCGCCAAGAGCTCAGCTTCGGTGCTTCGAATTCAGCAACAACCCACTGAGCCATTCTATCCTGAAGTGATGGAATACACATTAATCAAATAATAATTAAATAATATTCATAAAAGACTGAAAAAGACTGAAAAATTTTTTTTAAATAATATATAAAATTATTTACTGAGTTTTCCGTTTAGAAATGATTCGATTACAATTATTTACCACAAAAATGAGCAAATTTTTTTCAATCTTCCACAAATTAGTAAAGTACAGACCATGAATTCCCCCGCATTTAACCTGTATTCTGTATTTGCGCACTAAATCAAAACATCTATAAAACATCTACTATAAAAAGAATTTGTTTGTGTTGCCTGTGTTATTCCATGTTTGCATTTTTCATATGGCTCCATTATCTGCAAAATACCTAAAAAATTTTATTAAGCGTTAATGTGGAAAATATGTATTGTTTCATAAATTGTTTCGGTGTTATTCGAAATTTTAGCTATTAAAAACTGCTTCGCCAATCGTATGATAATCGTATGCGATTGAAATTTTAAAATTTTTTTCGACGTTCGACATTCCATTAGGCCAAACGGAATTAATAATTGTCAAAGAATAATTATAGAAATTTTCGCATATTTTAATCATGTTTTTTCGATTGCTACCCCATTTTCCAATGAATCGTCCAAATCGACATACATTTTACATCGTATATTTCGATAATTTATAGACAATCAAAGTTTTTCCGCGTTTGTTTATTCTCTGTACTCTTCTGAAGTCACTGTTTAAAAATATTTATTTTCTTAAAATCTAAAAAATCAATGGTTTAAAATTTAGTTGTTCAAATTTTTGCATATGAATATAAGTAAACGAAAGCATTTGTCCAAATTTTTTCAATTAAAAATGGATGAAACTGGAAATCTATTGTCTATATTAGATAATTTAAGTGAAAACCTTATAATATAATATAACATATTATAATATAATATAATATAATATTATATTATTATATAATGTATCAGCTCTTCAACGGGGTTGTTAATCACTAGTCCCTGATAATTTGAATAAGTCTGAAGCATAGTATGAATATGGCCTTTCTGGATTCTTTCGTGCATCGCTATGGTCTAAAGTGATAGTAGAGCCATTATTTATAAAAAAAATTTCCTTATTTCTTTAAGAAAGAATGTATATTTATAAATGTATGTTTATCAAACATTCTTTAATTAATCATTCAAAAAAAGGTGCTAAAATTTGCTTAGGTGTCAACATCAGTAAAGTGTTTCATTTTTATAAATGTGTCCAATTCAGTTCAAATTCTCCGCTTCCTTCTCTTTCTACAGCGCAGCATATAATCTTTTACCATTTGATATTTTTTTTTTACTAGTGGCAGAATTAGGAAAGGATATGAAGTAAAGACGAAAAGAAAAAAGAAGGAAAAACATTGATGAATATGCTCGCCATTTTCACCTAGCGGCCTGTCTCGAATATACAGCATCTTGTAATGCCTTTAATTTGCCGAGCTCAATACGAGGAGAATTTGCCTCATTGAGAAGATTATGTCTCAATTCTATGTAAGTGCCTGGATTATTGGACATCCTAATCTAACTAATAGTACCAATCACATGGCTCGAACAGCTACCCTTTTGATAGATGGAGCATCGTTAATTTAGGCTTTAAAAATGCCCTGCACTGCGATAGTTCTTTGGGATGCAAAAGAATCTGTACGAGATGATGGAAGCAAAGTAATTTTTATTACCAGTCTTGGAAGATTGATTGCATTGTAATGACAAGGAATTAACCTATTAACTTATATCTCTGGGAAAATTTCTGCATTCCTTCTGTTGAATAGACTTATGAAGAAAGAAGACAGAATAATGTCCTAACTAAATTGAATTCAGGGAGGGAGGGGCAGAGTCTGACCAAGTATTACGCTAAGGAGGTTGTTGGAACATCGCTTCAAGTATCGACATCATCATTTATTTGGCCCACTTTCCCACAACTCAGATTCAATTAATAGGCCAATGTTCTAAAGGGTAATGGAATATGACACTATTACAGAGAAGGTCATCTTTCTCATTTAGCCACTTAACGATCGCCATAGGTCTATGCGCCTGGAGAAATTGTAGATCCTTCAAGAAATATGTAATCAAAATCATAATATAATAGACCTTGCACAAATACTGATGATACAGTCCTCTTCACTGGCGATTATAAGGAACACCAGTAGAAAACTTGCATATCAATAATTACAGCAAAAGTTGCGTCTCAGACCAAGTAAATAAGATGAAGAGAAGCTGGTAAAATATTTATATTAAATCATTACTCTTGAATCCACTCTTATACTTAATAAGACGAAATTCCGACCTGGATAACCGAAGGATTACTTCCTTCTGCCATATAATATCTTTGTGAAATCGATATTATAACAACATCAAATCAACATCAAAGGGGGGTCGTGTCTACCTAGTTGCATTGGGCATGATTCGGCTAAACAATTGATATATGGTAAATGAGAGGCAGAAATTGGTGCATATTTTGCTACTTGCTGAGTTACTGGTCAGTGATAGATGAATGGTATTAGTTTGTATTAATTTTGTGATATGGCAATGAATCGAGCGACTTAGAAATACCTTATCCTTATAGCCAACTTATTAATTAGCAATAGGGTCTGCTAAAAAGAAAAAAACCTTGAGAAAAAAGGCCATCGGAAAGATGAGAAGATGAAATTTTCATTATGACTACGAAAGCTTAAGCAATTATCTAGAGATTTTTGTGAAAATTTCAATAATATAATAACCTCCATTTTTTTCAATATCAATTATGGGAAAAAATAAGGTGAACCTTGTTGATGTTTACCAAAGAATCTATCGTTGCCTCAAATGCTGATTTTCCCTCCTTAAAAAAAAGAAAAATACTAATGAAAAATTGGCAATTATTTCAAACTACAAGTTCTGCGAAATGGAAAGCAAAATTTCATGCCGTCAGATGAATAAAAAATCAGCAGTCAAAATGAAGCATTCAAACCGTAACAAATTCAGTAAGAAAATCTTGCCTTCAGTATAAAGAATATATGAAAAAATCAATTATTAAATTACGATGCTACTTCCAAGGAGAAATTCGTGCCGTACTTTTTGTGTTATTTCGAGAACAAATTATGCGATAATTACTGAGTATTAAATGAGCTAATATTATCATGAATTATCTGAAGAAAAAATTCTAATGAATTTTCAGAGCACCATCAGATGCAAGAGGACGATGCATAAGATAGTGGAAATCAGTCTCCCATTCATAGCAGTTGAATCCTACAGATGAAATGCCATCATAAACTGACGATGAAAATATGCAAAATATTTTTTTTCATGGCTTCATTACCTTAGACTTATCTTTTACTGGATATACAGCTTTTCGCGCATTACCGAATTTGAAAATGTAGAGATCCCAGATTTCTCATTGATTTCCAGTCAACGTGGAAATTTCGTAGAGAATTGACTAATTATCCTATTTACATAGATTATTAATTGAAACAAATATTTTTTAAATTAATACTTGGAAATAAAATGATTACCAATTCAAAATTAATTAAAATAGACGAATCAGTTATATATGTTTGTTGAGATGTTCTTCAAGTGTACAGTCAGGGAATGCAGCTTCCAATAGAAAAATGTTTGCTACTCAATTAGCCGAAAGTATAACAAGCTCGATCTCTGTTGCTAGAGGGCAATGCTGTCATTTAAAAATCTAAATGGTACTGAAAATCCACTCGCACCTCTACCATTTATTATCTCTATGTAGAAATGGTCCTATCCTCTTGGACTATTAAAAAAAAACATGAAAAATAAATCATGTATCGATCAAGTATATCTCGGAAAAGATTTTATAATCGCAAGCGAATTTTCGGCATGCCATGCCTCGTGGATTTTGGATGGAATTGATTTTGGATTTTGGATTTAAATAAACTTTAATTTAACGAAAATATCACATCAATAAATTAGCAATGCGATGTTATTTCTTTTAATGCTTGTCATGCTTGTCTTTATCCGTTTATAAATCAACAATCGAGTTGAAACTATTATCGATGTCTGAGTTTGAATTTAGCATGAGGCTGTCTCTAAATTATTTCGTGTGATTCCTTGATTTCGATGACAATGACTTAAACATTTTAATAGAACAAAGGAGACTAGAGTACTAACTCTAACTTCCTTCGCATTAGGAAAAGGAAGAATTTTTCCACAATGATCATGTTTTACAATCAATAACGAAAACCTAACATGGTATACGAAAATGAACTTGGGAAAGCGATCCAGCCAAGATTGGGATGACTTCGCTTCGTCGTATCAAGCAAATTTAAAAGGCTACCGTTATTTATAAAAAGTATTTCATCGAAAATAACCAAAAATTCTACTTTTCATATTGAACGTAATATGCAAACGTCTCTCGCTGGAACATCTGAAATATTGAAATAAACAGTTTCTTTTTTTTGAGTGCTTTCAGATTGAAATAGAAATGATTGAGTTCGAATTATTGGTTTCTATTTCTTATGAAAATTACCTCTTTGGTATTGGAAAAGCTATTAGAGCCAATAAATTTGAAAATCCTTCAGAATTTTTAGTTTTTTTATTTAAGTATCAACGATATTATTAAATACTTCTAGAATATAATCATCGTTCAGATTTCGATCATCCAAAGATTCATCACTGTTGTAGGGAGACTATAGAATTCGAGTTATTTTTTAACTGTTTTCATACAAATTGACTATAGCATTCACTTTTTTCTGATATAGATTCCAGAATTATGGAAGCTCTTCTGCTATTCTTATGATCATATGCGCTAGTTAAAAGCATATACAAAACTTCTGTCAGATGCGAACTGCCTCCAACCCCGAAACTCCTACTGGTTATTATTAGCAAAATCTGTCCATGACTTTGTATATGCCTCTAGTTTTCTTTGTCGCGGTTTTCGTCACTACTCTAAAGTTAATGGACCTTTGCAGGTCAAATAAATCATTTTCCTATGCAATGTATGTAAACTGACCTATAAAAATAATGGATTTAGAACCTCTGTATCTATATTGTATATTTCTGTATTGTTTTTATCTCAAGTTTATGATTCTGGCAAATATAGTCGTATTTTTACGTCCAGTGTCAGCTTAACAATTATTTAAATCAATTATCAACCATGCTCCCCAACAAATTATTATTATTGTTATCATTATTACTATTGTTATTTATTGTTATTATTATTATCATTATTATTACTGTTATTATTATTAACATTATTATTAGTTATTATTATTAATAATTATTGTTAATAATTATTATCAATTGTTATTATTAACTATTATTATTAATTAATAAATATTATTGTTATTAATAATTATTAGTTATTAAATATTATTAGTTATTATTATTAATAATTATTGTTAATAATTATTACCAATTGTTATTATTAATTAACTATCATTATTAATAATAATAATAATTATTATTATTATTAATTATGGATTACAGAGAGTATTTCCTCTTCTGTTAGCGGCTCACAATTGCAAACGTAAAGCTCGACGGGCAAATCAGTTATATTCGGGATAATAGATGGTGCGTCGTGGTTAAGTTTGGCTTCAAAAAATTCTTTCCATCTTCTAAGGCGATTCTTGACTGCTCTAATAGGCACCCCATTAATATACCGTACCATTTCACTGACCCCTTCTCGAGTTATAGTTTGCGGAGAAGGCAAAACAGTTTCCATTCTCAAGGCCATATCGTTCCAATAGCGATTTCTGTCCCACCGTGCTGCTGTCGTTGTAATTCTTCGAACTGCCCGATAGTCAGGATCTCCTAATATCCGAGCTTTGGCAGATTTTTCAGACAGTTGGATAGTTGCTTCCGACACCCAACTAGCGCATTTCCTACTACTATATCCTAATGTGGAAGTAGCTGACTTTTGTAGGCATATCTTTAGTTGGGACCAGTATTTATTCGCCGCTCCAGAGATGTCATTGACATTCATTTCACTGAGATGTTTCAATAATGCAGTTTGAAATGCACTTATCGTTCCCGGATCTTTTAAGATAGTTCATTTGAGATAGTTAAAAGATCTTGGGATACGTTGTTTCTTACGACTTATCAGTTTTATACGAATCTTGGCTCGAACCATAATGATGATTTGATCCATGGCGGTTACCAGTTTCAGCGCCCCGATAAGAACAACGACTATCAAATGCAGAACTCTTCTAGCGTCAATTCTGCTTCCCATTCCTAAGAAAGGTGATAGAATTTACTACGACAATTACCAAGGAATCGGCCCTATTGAACATCGGAAAAATTTTCGCTTTCCTCTTGCTAAATGACAACACGAGATAGCAGTCCTAATCAAGCTGGATTCAGACCGGGATGCGATTGTGCTGACCAGATATTTACGCTAAGAAGAGTGCTGGAACATCGCTTTAAACATCAGCAATCCGTTACTTGCCTTATCGATTTTCGATTCGATTGATAGAGCAGCTCTCTGGAAAGAGATGGAATGTGGCGGTGTCCCAGAGAAGATCATTCGGCCCATAAAGGAAAAATTTTTATCAGCATACCCTGGCGCAAGTCTGTATGTATGGGGAACTGACAGATTCCTTTGAAATAAAAACTGGTGTTCGTCAGGGCTGCATCCTTTCCCCCACAATATTCAACTATGCGATAGACTGGATAATGAGCATCGCTTGTCGGCATTCAAGAGATGTGCAAATCAGTCCAGAACATAGCATCAAAGACCTAAAATACTGACAGTTATGAGGAAATACATATAACATTAAACAATGTGTCAACAACTGCGAGAATTGGACTCATAATCAATGTAACTAAAACGAAAGTATTTTCGTCTTATACAAGATGCTGATAAAATACCTATTTTTATCAATTCATTGCTGGTTGAGGAAGTGCTGGACTTTAAACATTGGATCCACTCTAACCACAAATGATCAGGCAAAGGATGAAATCGTAACCCAGATATAGGCAGCTATTTTTCCGGCTGATGAAACCTTTATGGAACCGTTGCGAAATCACCATAAAGATGAAAATTCGCGTCCACATAGCTGCAATTCGTTCGAATTCGTTCGATCTTGCTATATGGCTGAGAAACATGGCCAATGAGAGTGGAAGATATTAAGAAGCTATTAGCTTTTGACCACTTATGTCTAAGGTACATTCTACGGATCCGCCGAGTAGATAAAATCGCACATGATTGTATCCACCTTCACTCAAATACCACCTGCATTAGAAATGTTACCACAGAGTGTCACCTTCGCTGGTTAGGACACGTTCTCCGTCGTCCACCACAAGAATTGACGCATTTTTCATTATTTGCTAAACCCTATGATCATCGGCGTCAAAAGCGAGGTGGGCCAATCAAGGCCTGGACTGATACAATCAGGAAAGATTTTGAACGTATAGTAGATAGGTGAACTAAGACTAGCTCAGAGAGGACTCTCGTAGAGTAAAAGGGCAAAAGCTCGCTTGATCTTGATTTCCAGTACGAATACAGACCGCGAAAGCGTGGCCTATCGATCCTTTTGAATTAGAAAATCTCTAGCAAGAGGTGTCAGAAAAGTTACCACAGGGATAACTGGCTTGTGGCAGCCAAGCGTCCATAGCGACGTTGCTTTTTGATCCTTCGATGTCGGCTCTTCCTATCATTGTGAAGCAGAATTCACCAAGCGTTGGATTGTTCACCCACCAATAGGGAACGTGAGCTGGGTTTAGACCGTCGTGAGACAGGTTAGTTTTACCCTACTGTGATATGTAGTTGCGATAGTAATCCTGCTTAGTACGAGAGGAACCGCAGGTTCAGACATTTGGTTTATGTTCTTGGCCGATCGGCCAATGGTGCGATGCTACCATCTGAGGGATTATGACTGAATGCCTCTAAGTCAGAATCCCGTCTAGACATGGCAACGATAATTTTGCTCCTCGATGTCGAGAGGCAAATCTATATAGATATGTTTATTGTGCATATCTATAATATTAGCCCCATTAGATGGTATTGCTATACGTGTTGAATAAATTGCATGTATAGTTGCCAAAGCTGGTTTCAAAAAAAAATCCGCTACCAATGTCGGGGCGCAAAATCACTTGTAGACGACATGATTACTGGTCAAGGTGTTGTAATCAGTAGGGCTTCCATACTGCGATTTGTTGAGACTCATCTTTGATTGGACGATTTGTTTTAAATTCATAAAAAATATTTTATACTTTTTTTTCTCTATATGTCACCATTACATCACTATTGACACCAACACTAATAAAAGAGAACGAAATTAGTGAACGAAATATTGTGAAATCGTAAATCGTATGAATTTGAGAAATCGCGGAAATTTTCAATATATCCG